TTGAATAACTTCAGAGACCTGGGACAATTAGCTTTTGCAAACCCCTGTTCTCACCTGTAGCTAGTAATGATTATACAATACCACTGCTAAAGGCAAAGAGCACCTGACACAAAATACCAATGCATTCTGCCTGTTCTTGCCACTATTTCCATTACTGTGATAACAGCACCCAGTGTGTAGAACTCACTGTCCACCCGGACACTAGACTCAGGGAGCCACTATGTGGCTTTAGAAAAGGTGGTCTGTTTCCACTTCTATGTAATAATTTTTGAGAAAGAGTCTTCCTGTAGCCCCAGCTGGCCTGGAACTTGCTATGTAGACCAGGCTGGCCTTAAACGCATAGAGATCCATCTGCCTCTACCTCCCAAGTGCTGGGACTAAAGGTGTGCACCACCACCATCTTAAAAAATATTTTATGAGGGGCTGGAGAGATGGCTGAGTGGTTAAGAGCACTGGCTGCTCTTGAAGAGGACCCGGGTTCAAGTACCAGTACCCACATGGTGGCTAACCATCCAACCATCTGTAACTCCAGTTCTAGGGGAATCTGACGCCCTCTTCTGACCTTCATGAGCATTGAACAACACAGGTTCACTTACATACATGAAGACACTACACACATACATACAAAATAAAAATAAAATATTTTTTTTAAAAATTAAATAAAAGCCAGGCATGGTGGCACACACCTTTAGTCCCAGCACCTGGGAGGCAGAGGCAGGTGGATCTCTGGATCTCCGAGTTCAAGGCCAGTCTGGTCTACATAAGTTCCAGGCCAGCTGGAGCTACAGATGTTGTTATTAAATAAATCATTTTTAAAAATTAAATAAAAAAGATTAGAAACCGTTTGTGTAAGAAAAAAAGGTAAAGTTTTCATGTCTGTTAAACACAGATTTTTTTTTGTGTGTGTGGGGTTGCTCATTATATATTCATTAAAGCAAATGGAACTAAATAAATATGCTTTATTTTTAATGCTATATTTTTTTCTTTAGTTCTTTACCTCCTCTTACTACTGAGTATGACAAGCATCTGGAAGAGCTAAATGAGCAACTGAACTATCATCAGGTATGAAGTCCTAATTGCTAAGCTTTTGTAGTACTTTATTATGAGAAGAAAAAGTAGAAATTTCATTCTTTAAAACATTCATGAGGGAGCTGGAGAGATGGCTCAGCAGCTGAGAGCACTAGCTATTCTTACAGAGGATCCGGGTTCAATTCCCAGCATCCACATGGCTGCATTGCTAACAGTCGCCTGTATCTCCTTTTCTCAGGGCTCTGGCCCCCTCTTCTGACCTCTGCAGGCGTTGCATGACACAGGTGCACTTACATACATGCAGGCAATACACTCATACACATAAAATAATAGTACATAATAAATAAAATATTTAAAAAGCAATACTTGCTCACATAGATATTATTAATTAATAGAACTAATTCTTAAGACTAATGAAGAATCTTTAATGCAACTGTGATCTAATATCTTTAATTTTAGGTGAAGCATATATTTTCTTTACATCTATTTGCAGTATTAAGTGCTTTTCAGGTTATACTGATATTTTTGCAACTTTTAAAGTTTTTTTGTTTTTTGTTTTTTTTTTTAATTATAAACTGGAAGCCAGACGTGGCATTGCACACCTTTAATCCCAGCACTCAGGAGGCAGAGGCAGATGGATCTCTGAGATTGAGGCCAGCCTGGTCTATATAGTGAGTTCAAGGCCAGCTGGAACTACAGGGAGACCCTGCAAATAAATAAATAAATAAATAAATAAATAAATAAATAAATAAATAAATAAATAAATAAACAAACAAATAATATCCATATTTCTTTTTAAGAAATATTTATTTTTATTGTATGTTTATGCATGTATTGCCTGCATGTAGGTAGGTGTACCCATGTCATTCATTGCCCTAGGGAGCAATTGGATTTCCTGAAACTGGAGTTACAGATGGGTTAGCCACCATGTGGGTGTTGGGAATCAAACTCATGTCCTCTGCAAGAGCAGTCAGTGCTCTTAACCGCAGAGCCATCTCTCCAGCCCTGGTAATATCTATACCTCTTACTATGACATCCAGTATGTCTCACGTGCCTTTTCTAATTTTTATGTCAGATTGTATAATTCCTTACATGGTCAATATTTAATTATCTGGTAGTTAATTGATCATTTTTGTTTGATTGTCATTCTGGCCTAGCATGGACCTGGGAAGAATTCAACTTTGGTCCCAGTTTCATGTTAGTATTGGTTGTTAGTGATTGCTTAAGCTAAGCTGTTTTGACTATCTCTGAGTAGGAGGGAGAATGACTTGGAGAACATTCCACATATTCCTTGCCTGGGTTCACTCCAGGCTTGGCTCCTCTTCTTTACCCCATGGTGCACAATCAAGACTGATAGATGTATTTTGAGCTGATTGCACTTTTGTTTTAAATGTTATTTTTCCTCTTCTTGCTCTCCAGTAACCCATTTACTTCTACTGAGAGCAGACTCTTTATTTTTCCTTTTTTGCTTTCGCTCATATTCTCTCTTCCTTTTCCTTTAAAACCCTATTAACCCTTTTATTACCTGAAAGAAAATTAGTGACGCTTTCTCTCATTCCCTTTTCAGTATGCATTATATTCTACATTGTATTTTTTAGTGGATTTTTAAAATCATCAGATAAGTTTGTCAGTGACCATGTTTATTTACCATAGCAACCTTGTTTAGCTCATAGTGAGGAAGAAACTGAGTAAGTGCTAAAGAAGACCTCAACTTTCTATTTCATCATTACCATTTTATCTTTTGAGGTACTAGAAAATAAACACACGTGTGCTTCCTGTAAACAAATGAATTAAAATACACATTCAAACTTTTGGTGTTTGCTATACTAAAGTGTATCTTCATGCTTTTCTAGCTACAAGTCCTAGGAATTATATTTTTAAATATTTCTCAATGCTTCACATAAAATGTTTTTTAGCTTATTTGTAACCTATTCAAAAATGAATGTTTGATTATGTTTGGTTTATTGCTAAACTAACCATATTTAATATTACTTGGATGTATGAAATTCTCAAAAACATTTTTTAAGTTAACTAATCAGAAAGTCTGTTTGTATATGAATTGGCTACTTATGGAGATATAATTGGAAAGTGGATTGCTACACCATATTTTATTCTTGTAGAAACAGATGGGTGAGATGAAACTACAACTCGAAACTGTCATCAAGGAAAATGAAAGGTAAATCAGTTAGCTATTGGGTCTTTTGTTGTTGTTTGGGCAATTTTTAGCTTTATTATTTAATACATAGAGTATACTACTTAGGAGTGAAGACTCCTGGGCTTGATTTTTTTTGTTTGACTCCTGGCTTCATTTTCTGTGACTTTAAACAAATTATTTGCTTCTTTCTGTTCTGGTTTCCTTGCCTATGAACTGGGAATAATAAAAGAACTTTTTTTCACAGGTTAAGGGATAAAGTAATGACTTGAAATAAGGTGCATAAGCATCTTATAAATATTAGCAAGCAATAGTATAGTATAGTAAATATTTATATCAAGAAACATACTAATTAAAAATAACAACCTACTAACCAGCTAAAAAGCTAAAAATATTACCAATACTGGTGCGTCAATCCATGTGTTCCTTCCATTTCCCATTCTTTTTCCTGTACCAGAGGTCGACTCTGTTGAATTTTGCTTAGTAATATATTGTAATTTTTTTTTCATCTTTGAAAACTATTAAAATCATAAAAGCAGGTATTCTGGGAATTGCTCTTCACATTGACTATAATGCACAGGTCTAAGAATTTCTCTGTGAGTTCAAGGCCAGCCTGGTCTACATAGCAAGTTCTAGGTCAGCTGGGAATTTCATACAATGTAATTTGATTATATTCATGCACCCTCCCCCCCTCAACCTCCTCCTTACTACCCCTCCCTGACTTCATGTCCTCTATTATTTTTTAAAAGGTTTATTGAGTATTATTTATGTTCCCCAAATGCTTTTGAATGTGGGCCCATACTATGGAGCTTAGTCCACCTACCTGACTTATACCCTTAAAGAAAATGACTCACTCTCTCCCAGCAGCTGTAAATTGCCAATAGTTCCTCAGCTAGGGCTGGGGCTTCTTGTCCACCTACCCTATCTTTGCTAGGATTTTTAATCTGGCTTTGGCTTGTGTAGGTCTTGTACATGCTGTCACAAGTACTGTGGATTCCTATGTGCTACTTCCCTGATGTGTCCAGAAAATAGTTTAGTTTCCTTGTATTCATCCACTATGTCTGGCTCTTGAAGTCTTTCTGCCTTCTTCTCTACAGTGATCTCTGAGCTTTGGGAGGAGAGGGTATGATATAGATGTCCCATTTATGGGTGAGCATTCCACAGTCTTTTGTTCTCTGCATGTTGACACTGTGGGTCTTTGTGTTTAATCATCATCTGCTGCTTTTCTGATGGGAGTTGAGAGATTCACTAATCTGTGCATAAGAATTAGTCGTTATGTGTCTGGTTTAACTTTATGTCCATTTAGCAAAATAATAGTAGTGGGTTCTCCTCTATGGCCTGTGACCTGTCTAGCCACAGGTTCTTGTCCCTGATAGCAGTGCAAGTTATGGACTCCATCTTGTGAGGTGGAACTTAGGTCCAATCAGAATGAAGTTGGTTATTTCCTTAACATGTGTGCCACTTGTGTGCATATCTTGCTGGGCCAGTTATTATTTGTAACTCTCAGGGTTCACAGAGAGTAATGTTGATGATTATTTTTCTCTTCTGGTAGCATCCATAGCACCTTGCAGTACTATGAAAGCTAGCCAGTAGAGATGAAGCTTTGAGGTCAGTATCAGCTTGGTTTCTCCTTGTTTGTTTTATGACTCAGGTATGCAATATCTTCAGCAGTAGGGTCTTGTTGTCAAGTTCTGGAGAGTAACCAAGAGTGGGAACAGTGGCCAGTATTATTTGAGAGTCTTTGGGACCCCCAATCCCACCCCAGTCATCAGCTCTGAAAGAGGGAGTCCATTCTTGGCATTGGACTTTTAATTTGCTATCCTGTGCTATTTGATAGTACCCTCATTATAAGGTAACTCATTTAAATTTAAATTTTTTTATTGTTTGTGTATGTTATGAAGCTTCTATAGTAGTAGTTTTCCATATGCTTGCTTCAAAAAGGCTTCAGTATTAGTTATCTTTCCTCATACTCTCTCATCTACCATGTGCCCCCATTCCCCCACTCCTTTTAAACCTTCCTATTCTGTTATTCCATTTTCCACCTTTGTATCACTGCATTGTATCCCCCTTACCTTGAAGCCTTCCACCGTCATTGCCCTTAACTAAATTCCTTGCCTCTATGGATTTTCCACTTGAAACATACCTATCTAAAGATTCAGAGCTAGGGCTGAAGAGATGGCTCAATGGTTAAGAGCACTGGCTGCTTGCAGAGGACCCAGGTTTTATTACTAGCACCCACAGAACAGCTAACAACCATCCATAACTCCAGTTTCAGGGAATCTGATACCCTCTCCTGACCTCTGTGGGCATTGCACAAGATAGGTGTACTTAATATACATGCAGGCAAAACATTCATATGCAGAAAATAAAAACTAGAATACTTTAAAAATTCAAAGCTAGCATCCACTTATGAGAGAGAACATTTCCTTTCTGGGTCCGGGTTACCTTACTCAAAATAATTATTTCTGTTCTATGCATTTACCTGCAAATTTCATAATTTTGTTTTTTTAATAGCTGAATGATATTCCATTGTGTAAAGGTACTATGTTTTCATTATCTATTCATGAGTTGATGGACATCTACATTATATCCACTTCCTGGCTATTGTGACTAATGCAGCAATGAACATGAATGAGTAGGTGCCTTTGTAGTAGGATATATAGTTCTTTAGGTATATGCCCAAGAATGGTATGGCTGGATCATGTGGTAGATCTATTTCAAGCTTTTTGAGGAACCTCCACACTGATTTCCATAATGGCTGCACAGTTTGCATTCTGACTAGGAGTTTCCCCTTTCTGCACATCCTCATCAACATTTGCCATCATTTGCTTTTTGAATCTTAGCTATTCTGACTGGGGTAAGGTGAAATATCAAAGGAGATTTAATTTGCATTTACCTAATGATTAAAGATGTTGAACATTAAATAAAGAAATTTCTCAGCTCTGTGTGTCTCATCTTTTGAGGACTTTGTTTAGGTCTTTGCCCCAATTTTTAATTGGGTCTTGTTTGCTTGATGTTTAGGTTTTTGTATTCTTTGCATATTCTTAATCCTAATCCTCTGTCAAATATGTAGCTCATAAAGAATTTTTTTTCCCATTCTGTAAGCTGCCTCTTCATTTGAATGATGGTGCCCTTTGCTGTACAGAAACTTTTTAGTTTCGTGAGTTTCCATTTGTCAGTTGTTGGTCCTAATGCCTATTTTATCATGGTTCTGTTCAGAAAGTCCTTTTCTGTGCCTATAATTCCAGACCGTGCTCTGCTTTCTTCTTTAAAAGATTGATGGTGGGAGGGCTTATGTTGAGGTCCTTGATACATTTGGAGTTGAGTTTTGTGCTCATTGATCTAGATTCATTCTTCTACATCTGGCTATCCAGTTTGATCAACATTATGTTGAACATGCTGTTTTCTTCAGTGTGTATTTTTGACCCCTTTCCCCCCAAAATCATGTGGCTATAGGAAGGTGGACTTAAATCTGGGTTCTTAATTATTGCTTTTAATATGTTATTAATTTTTTGAGAGGGTCATACAATTTATTTTGATCTATAGTCTCTTTATTCTCTGTACATTGACCAATTGTGGGTCTCTGATGAATGCCTTCAGCTGCAAGAAGAAAATTCTCTGATGAGGATTGAGAGATGTACTAATCTATGGGTATAGTAATAAGTCACTTGGAGTCATTTTAATACTGTTTATTTAGAAGAATATTAGTAGTAGGTTCTCCCCTAGGATTTATCTAGCCACAAGTTGGTAGTCATCATACTGATGCCAACTATGGGTTCCATCTTGTGGAGTGGGCCTGTATTAGTCAGTTTTCTGTTGCTGTGATAGAAACACTGACCCAAGCAATTTATAGAAGGAAGTGTTTATTTGAGCTTACAGTTCCAGGGAATTATAGTCCATCATGGCAGGGAGGCATGGTGGCTGGAGGTGGCTGGAGCAGGAGCAGCAGAAGCTGAGCGCTCACATCATCACACAGGCACAGGAAGCAAGAGAGCAACTGGAGTTCAAGCAAGGCTTAAGAACTCTTTAAGCCCACCCCCAGTGACATGCTTCCTCTAGCATAGCCACACTTTCTAAAACCTCCCAAAACAGTGCCACCTCTGGGGACAAAATGTCCAAATACTTGGAGCCTATAGGGGACATTTTCATTCAAACCATCACAGGGCCTTATATCCAATTAGAGGGTGATCAGTTACTCTCATAACATTCATGCTCCTATTGGACTAGAAGAAATAGCTTGCTATTATCATTATTATTATTGCCACTGTCATTATTACAGTTCACAGAATTCATAGCTCAGGACGATTCATGATTACTTTTCTCCTCTTATATAGCATGCATAGTACCTTTGAGCACTATAAAAGCTATCTAATAGGGATGAAGCTTCCATGCCAGTACCTACTTAATTTTTCCATGTTTTTTGACTTGTGTGTTGTCCTCAGCAATAGGACCCTATTACTGTCCAGTTCTGGTGGGTAACTGAGAACATGGGATATAGCCTATACTGTTTGGTGGTCTGTGGGATCCCTCTAGCCAATAACTCAAAGAGAAGTAGCCCATTCCTGGTATGGGGGTTTTATTTGCTAGGATGAGGTGTCTCCTTGGGATATTTTTCTCCCATTAATGTAAACTCCATTTAAATTCTTTATGTATTTTAGAGAATTTCTATGATGGTTGGTTTTTGTATTACTTTTTCAAAAGGTCTTTAGCATTTGTTATCCCTCCCCATATTCCCTCTTCTACCCTACCCTCACAACACTCACTCTATTTAATCTCTCTTGTTCCACTATTCTCCTTTCCCCTTTATATCCCTGTATTTTATCTCCTTTCCACTGAAAGATCTAGTAGTTTTGTAACCTCTACATGTCTGAATGAAATATACATATGTAATTTGAAGCTAACATTAACATATGAGAGAAAACATGTGATGTTTATCTTTCTGGGTCACCTCATGATGATTGTTTCAGGTTCATCCCTTTACCTACAAATTTCATATTTTCATTTTTCTTAATAGCTGCATCATGCCTC